AACAGAACAGTCTGAGTCACCCGGTGTCAGTGGATGTTCCTGCCCACACCTACGAGCTGCTGCCACTCCACTCTCTGTGTAACATAATAATAACAGTAATAATAATAGTCATTTTAATTGTAATTTCTTACCTTTTATATTGGTAATCAATTTTAATTGTGTTAATTAATCTGATTAAGACACAAACAGTAACATAATAGAGATTTGAGTTTAAAACAACCTGCCGTCTTTTATACCTGACTGCCCTCTGCTGGATAATGTCAGTACCGGCCGCTGATATATATATATATTTATATATAAAGTAATACTTTTCTTGGGAGTATAAAAATATGGATATATCACCAAGTTCGTTGAGAATATTAAAAAAATGAATATTTAAAAAATGTAATGTCTGATATTTATTATTAAAGCAAAAAAAATAACAGATAAGAAGATAAAGTAATGACATATTAACATATATTATGTATTGTCAAAATCAGAACAAAAAGCAGGAAAAATCACCAATAGACACTAACTAACAGTAACACATTAGAAAAGCCTGTATTAAGTAGGAGATCCGCTAGACGGCAGCATTGAGTAGAAAGGTCGACGACAGCAGATAGCGAAAAAAGAAGAACAAAACTAAGAGGAAGTTACTGTTGGCTAGTGACGTCACATCAGTTAGAACGAAGACGGCGCAGACATGCTAAGGTAAGGGATGATTTTAATCCCGCTCCATCTGTCTTCAGTTAAAGATATAATTTGTCTTTACCTATCGGCGTTGTTTAAGTTACTGTACTCGGTTGAGAAAGTCTGGTTATGTGTAGAAAATATCGTCTTTAAGTTACTAATGTCGACGAAACGCGAACGCTGTCTGTCAGTGGAGGTCTCCACCATCTAGCTTTTAAACTCTTCTTCATTCTATTGTATTAAAACTGAAATGTGTTTAATGTGTTTCGCTGCTTAAAAAGAAGTGGATAATAATTATATTGTTAGTTTCGGGTGAGAATTCTGTACAGTTTACTGTCAGCACAGCATGTATAACACAAAGTTAGCTGCCACAGTCGGTCGGCTAGCTTTAGCCTTGTAAGGAAAACTTGGCTAAACTATAGTAAACTTTTGTATGTCAAACTTCCATTGGCAAACGTATTTTCTTATGGTATTTTATTAGTGTAAAATCATCAAAAAACATCTTTATAGTTTGTCTTGTGTAAAATTAAAACGAATAAGTTGTTGGTTGCGAGCACATTTAAACGACACATTCTGACGTGCTGCTGCCACCTGTTGGTCATATCCATATCTGCAGACCTTTCCAGCGAGGCTCATCCTGTAGTGGTTCTGTCCTTTCCTGTTGTGTCTGCTAGAGACTGTTGAGGCAGTTTGAGGCCCTGCTGTGAGTCCACATGCACGGCAGGGTTATAGGTTAGCCTCAGACATTATTTACTGAAACACATGTCATTTTTAACTGGGCAGGTAAGTTTCCTAAACCTGTTAAAAACGTCAACAAGTGATGTAGAACTTCTTTTTTTTCCTAATGTTGTAGAATGCTACTTGGTTAAAACAACACTGAGTACTTATAAAATGATTGACTGTTTTTGACAGAACTGCTGGAACGAAGTCAGACCCTGACTCATCCAGACCTCCTGACTGAGCTGCTCCTCCACTGCACATGTGAATTAAACTAAAGCAGGTTTGTGTTTTTATTAAAGTAAGAAATAATTTATTTTAGAAGAAAAAGTCATGTAATTATTCATAGCAATGTCACTAGTCAGCTTTAATTATACAGGTTTTCAAAATAAAATCCAGAACATTTTATATTTTAAGAGTTCAGAAATACATATTGCTAAAGGTTATAAATGTAAGCAAAACTAGCGTTTTAAAATATTTTTACATGCATTGTCTTGAATATGTATTTAGATAGATGTATTGAAAACATAGTTTTCATTGTGCAGACCTTTCCAGCGAGGCTCATCCTGCAGTGGTTCTGTCCTTTCCTATTGTGTCTGCTAGACAATGTTGAGGCAGTTTGAGGCCCTGCTGTGAGTCCACATGAACAGCAGGGTTATAGGTTAACCTCAGACATCACGTCGCGTTTGTAACGCCTAATATTTTTCTAATTTTAATTGACAAATGTTTAAATGTAAAATGGAATGCTGGGGATTAACTGAATTAAGGGTTTTGTCATTGAAGGTTTTCACACAGGATATTATGAGAGTAAGTTTGTAACATGTCATCTTATATTTCAGATGTCCAGCACCTCACTGGGCTCTGGAGGAGAGGGTCATGTGACATGTCAGGGGTCACAAGATGTCTGTACATGGAGCTGCATGGAACACAGCTGTGTGTGAAGTTGTCTTTTCATACAAACATTGGTGGCGCTGTTGTTCTGAATAACTATTAAAATAATTGCAATTGTTATTTTTGTACAGGAAATGCACAGCACTAACCCTGCTGCTGCGCCTCATCCTCCTGTAGAGGATCAAGAAGATGAATGTTGTCTACAGAAGATGAAGCAGCGACAAGAAATGAACATTAGAAATGGTTGCATTTGAAAGACTTATAAAGCTGTGAGGTATATATATATACACCTCACAGCTTTATATATATATACATATATATAAAATAAATAATAAAATACATTTTTCTGGACTTGTTTTTATTTTTTTTATTTTCTTGTTGCACGATAAATATCGTGACGGAGATTCTTAACCTCTTTGTTTTTTATCTTTAACGGATTTTAATGAACGGTGAATGTGGCTGCGTTTCAGTGTTGTTCTGCAGTGGGGTGTCTAATAGCTTACATGTCTACCTTTATCCACTTGATGTCGCTGTCGTGCTAACGGTTAAGAACAGGTGAACTGAGAGTTACGAATGATTCAGAACGTTAATCTAATACATGTGGTCAAGGATGGTTGATCATTCTTGATTACTGGGTTGTTTTTTTTTTCTTGTTTCTTCCCATCAGTGACTTGTCGATATTCACCGTTTATTGAAACCGCATTTTAAACTATCGATGTCTTTTTACTGTCTTGAACTGAATTGGTTTTCATATTTTTGTTTACTGTATCTTTGAATTCGCTACCGTTTAAAAATTTTTTGTCATGTGTCTTGTTTTTTTTTTTTAATGTGATTAACTCTACTAAATTGTTTTGAAGTTTAGCGGATGTGACGTCATACCGTCCAGTCCATCGACTGGTGTGGAGCAGAATCCAGGTATAAACGAAAAGGTCGTCAGAATGAACACTACAGTATGACAAAAGTTCGGTGAGACGTTCACGGTCCATGTCTCTCAGCTGCTCCTGTGAGTTCAAACGTGACACAAAATAATAATTTAAATGAATATGGTAACTTTGAGTTACACTGAAATCTGAGTTTCAAACCTAACAACTTTGTAATGGGTTTTATTCATGTTTTCATTGTTGTTAATGCTGACAAACGATCCCTACTTTAACTTTCACTTTCACTTTTGTTGTAACGTCTTCAACTGATCTCACACAGAACTTGACGCCTTATATGTCGAAAGCTGCAAAAAATGTTTGGATAAAGTGCATCTTTGCAAAAAATGGATAAAGTGCATCTGTTCTTTCCTAGATTCCTTCACCTCGTCGACTTTCACAGGACAAGAAGTGCGTCTGGTGGACGGTGGGATTTTGGTTTGTTAAGGTCAGATATACTGCTAACACGACAACAATCTAAAGATTGGTCTGATATATTGGTGTTAAGTGTATGGTGTCTGTTTTCTCCTGATAATCTTGGTATTTCAAAGGCACAGACTTCATTCAAGCTAATCCTGCAGGCAGCCTTTTTTTTGACACAGACTTCATTCAAGCTAATCCTGCACGCAGCTTTTTTGTTATTAGTAATGCTGTCATCTATGGGTTGTATTACTGCCATCTACTGGACGTGTTTTCTTACACACAGTATCATCATCACTAAGACGGGACATTAAAACTGACAATGTGTAGTAACGTTATCCCTGAACTCACCAGTGTACATTCTGTGACCTTCAAAAATGCCTGCTCATCAAAATGACTGTTTAAAAGCATAAAAATTGAGTTTTAACTTCAGAAAAATATATATATTTGACAGGTTGATGTTTTTTTAACTTTTATTTTCCTGTCTGTGTCACTAATGCACTCTAATCGTTGTTTCTGTTTTGTCCGTTGTTCTCAGATGGATTTCCCTGTGGAGGCAACAGTTCCTCTCACTTCTTTTTCAGACAAGTCCACTGTGGAGGAACTCATCTCATCTCATGACTTTTCCATAATACACCGGACCAGAGGTGGGCTGCGGATCAAAGGTTCATTCCTGAAACTCAAATCGGTGAAAGATTCTTTGGAACAACTTCTGGAGTCAGAAAACCTTGACCTTGTCCGGACCTTGTCAAAGCTCCAATCCACCTCCTCCGAAGAAAAGTCCTCATCAGGTCGTACTAGAGGCAGAACAGGATCCAGGACCTCATCAAGTTCATCACCAATCAATACGTCTGAATCCTTGGTTTCCAACTCACACCAACGTTCCACCTTCTCAGATCCGACAGGTAGCTGTTCTACAGGAGCGCGTCCAAAAGACTCGTTCAGACCTGGGAGTGAGTTCCTGGTGGACACAGATGTGTACAAGTATGCTGCGCTGGTCAGGGGGGAAATACTGGTGCAAATCCAGCAGAACCACAGGGTTGGGATGTTAGTGCAGGAGACCGGCGACAGCTCACGGATCGTTCTACAGGGTAAGAACGCCATGAAGGCCACAGGGGAGGTGATGAACCTCATGGAGGATGTCAGCAAATCTCTGGGAACACAGGACGGAAGGACCTGAGCCCCCAGGGCAGAGATCTGATGCGTCGGATTCAGAAAAGTGGCAACATTTACCGTTCAGTTCTTGTTTATGAAAAAGGCGACGGACTTCGTCTCATCGGATCGTCGCATGAGAGCTACGCTTTGAAACAGAAGTTGCTGGGTGGGACGGTGGAGAAGGACTCCAGGAGTAGGAGGAGCAGCTCTCTGTCTCCAAAAACACACCAAAACACAGAGAATGACAGTGGTGCAGCAGCTGTGATGCCTCCAGCTGGAGGTATGTGGTACGACAAGGATGCATCTCGTGGGAAAACCGGAGAGGACAAGAACACAAACCTGGTTCATCAGACGAAAATTAAACCTAGTACTCCTACAGGCCTGAAACAGTTACTACCGTTTACAAACAAGGACATAAAAGAGAAATTTAAGAGAAAATAATAAGTATTAAATGTTTTTAACATTTAATCAATATTAAGGTAATCAATATCAATACCATTTCGTAATCAGTGCAACTACTAAATGAATATCAACAAACACTGGATCATTATGCAGATTTTACTTTCATGTTTTAGATCAGAACAATAAAAAATGCTTATGCACAATATCTGAGGATGTAATACCTCCGCCCGCTAGAGGGAGACAAAGTGCCTATATAAAAACTAAACTAAAATTTAACCCATCACCAAGTGAACAGTGGGCAGCCGTGGTCAGGATTCGAACCTGGGGCCTTCCGGACCGAAGTCCGCTTCCTTTACCACTAGGCCACCACCGCCTCTATATGTTATCACTGAAACAAAAAGCCTGTCCCTGGAGCCCTGGCCTGGCATTGTGTCCCTGTGTCGTCCTGTTATAAAGTCCTGGATATCAGTCTGGAAATAAGTGCATTGATGTGGGAATAAATTTACCCTGGAGGGGGCAGTAGAGTGTAAGCCTGAGCAGAACCGCATAGAAAGAGACACCAATCAGAGACATTTCAGTTTCACTCAGGCTGTTACTTCACTGGAACACCTGGAAAACTGTTGAAACAGCTCCCAAAAGGTCCTTAAAAGTCCTGGAAGGTTTGATGGAATACCAGGACTTTTTTAATGTCATGTAAATGTTGACACGCCTCAAGTAAAAACAACTCAAACCGACCGTTCTGTGGCCTGTCAAATGCCTTTTTATTTCACATCTGAACATCTGAACCGAGGACAGTAGGCGTCACCTGAACTCACCACGGCAGAGGAAGTGATGATGAGGATCTAGGAGGTAACTGCAGTCACTGAACAAACAGATGGACGTTTGAAACCTTATATCTCTCTCTTTTTTTTTTTTTTTTTTTTTTTTCTCACTGTTGTATCACTTCCATCTCTTTTGTCACTAAATCCAGGCGATGGCGAGCGACGGTCGTTCCACCCTGGACATGTCCACGGTCTCCAACGTCAACACTGACACAGGTGAGTGACCTTTCTGGTGCACAGTGACATACGGTGGTTTTAGGCAGCAGCCGGCCTACTGGATCTGTTCAGCCACTTGTCTCTTCTCATGGTGGTCCCATCTTTGACAGCTAGAGGGCACTAGAAACCGTACGAATGAATGCTGTTAAAGTCAAGATAAAAAGAAAACATGCTAGGATTAAAATCAAAATTCTTCAATAAAATGTCTTCAGGAGCAGATGAGTTTTTTTATATATTATATAAAAAAAATTAGGATTAAAGGATTAAAATCAAAATTCTTCAGTAAAATGTCTTCAGGAGCAACATATAATTTTAATATTTTGACAGATTCCAGTGCAAATCCATCTATAATTTGACATGATTCCATGACCCTCCTGACCCTGAACTTGACTTTTGGATGCAAAAAATGGACCGTGTGCCCAAGCATGAGCCAAACAATCAGCCTGAGCTCAGTGTGTAAATGAACAGAAGACCAGTAAGTCTTCCAAATGTCTCCCGTCTCAGGTCAGATTCTTTCATTCTGCCTTAGTCAGAGTTGCCTCACACCCACAAACTCGCTCAATGACGGTGTTTCACAACCGACGCGGCTGTTGAAACCTGCTTGGCTCCAGAACCAAAGATCTGACTCTAAAGCTGCGGCTCTGTGGGAACCTCTGCTTCGCAGGAAACCCCAGAGGGACACGACGTCCGAGTTTAAAACAGGGCGAAATGCCAGGACGGGTTCCCAAAATAAAGGACATTTTTTCCCAAAACCTTAACGTTTGAGAGGTTAACTGCTCTGTGGAGGGTTGAGGGAGCAGAGCGTGGGGCTGTGTGTGGTGACTGTTTAGAAACCTAGAGGTTTTGTGGCAGGAAGACAGAGACAGAAGAGGAGGCGGCGAGCGGCGTCTGCGTGTCAAAGATAGATCCTGTCCTTTTATACAGCTGAGTGTGAGGGCAGAGGCTGACAGGCCGGCTGACGTGCTGCAGCGTGTACACCACGGCTTCTGTGTGATTTCACTGAACACACCCTTGATTTCACCGCGACACGCCCACAACACCACTTCCACAAACACAGACGCTGCCAGGCCCCAGACGGCAAACTTCTTCTACTTCTTCTACTTCTTCTTCCTCCTTCATTTGTTTTCTGTTCCTCTCTGCGTCTGCTGTGACCTCACCCATCTTTTGCCCTTCTTGTTTTACCGGGCGTCAGACGCTGCCATGGCGGAGCTGGAGGACCTGGAGTTTGGGAAGTCCGACTTTGTGCTGCTGGACGAAGTGACGATGGAGCAGTTTCCGGAGAACCTGAAGTTAAGGT